CTCAGAAAATGGTTTCTAGGTTTCTAAGATGGCTATGCTTATGCTAATTTACTAATCTTACTAATGCTTAGATTCTACATTTCCCCACTTTCCTTTGACCATTCCAATCATGGAATGTTTGTTTCTTCCTGCTGTGTGAGTGAATGATACTGCGGTCTCAGCATTAGCACCTGAACAGCACTCACTCTTTCCCTAACAAAGGCTATTAGCCGGTTTAAGATACAGAGACCTAAAGTGAGAAGCAGTATAAAAATAAGCAAGGGCCCTGCCAGGGTGGATATCAGGGTTGTAAACCATGGGGATTTAGTAAACTAGGATTCAAATAGCCCTTGGCAGGCCTCTCGCTCTCTCTTCCTTTGATCTGGTCTCTCTCTAAGTTTAGACATTGAATCTCTTACTATTCCGGAATGGTCTGCTGTTAAGGTTTAGCTAAGTTTTATTAGTTCTTTTTCCTGACTCTTAATGCTCTCTGCACTCCTTTACACACTCTTGTAACCACCATCCAGGTTGAGAAATCACTCAGCAGCCACTCCACATCCTGCCATGAGCCCATCCCAGATCACTTGCTCTGCACCCAGGAGGTCTATAAATCGCATACTCTACTTCTGCCTATCTCTGTGTGTTCGAGGCTCTCCACCAAGAACTGCCTGCACCATCACCCACTAAAGCATTTCTTTTAGCTTGTTGGCCACCATGGGGAAACAGAGGATGAGGTTAACTGGAGATGTGGGCCGTCTCCATGGTCTCCACTATGTCTAGCAGCTTTTAGAGAGGTATGTATTGATAAACTAGGTGAGGGTTTTTCCAAAATTACATGGTTTAGTGGCATTTTTGACATGGAACCCATGAGTATCTGATCAGCCTGCTTTCCCCTTGAGTTCTTTCCTCCCCACGTAGTCCCCCCAGCTAGGGGCACAAGCTCTGTAATGTGTCTCATGCTGACATTTGCCACATTTCTTTTAGTCACACTGTTCTTGCAAAATGAGTTTTTATCCACTGCAGTTATATCTTGTTTTCCTACAGAAAAATACATGAATCTGGACAAGATAGAAACCTCGGCCACTGTCCTGGGTGACTGTCCCACTCACCAGCAGAGTTCAGGCCGTGGGGAGGAGACAGGAAGTTCACTTCACGCAGAATTTGAAGAAGAGAGAAAAGATGTCAATGATGATAGAGGAGAACCTGAAGGTCAGTTCATTTTAAGCATGCTCTTTGGGATAAATTTTGCCCACAATGTATTTGAGACTTCCTCTGAGAAAACGACATTTTTTGTTTTTCCTGGGAGACAAAGATTCATAGTCGTTTTCTCTTTGGCCACTAGAAATCTCAGTTAAGTCTGAAGCTTGTTCTGGACACTGTAAGTTATCAGGGCATAATCTCTCTACCTCCTCCCTATTATCTCTTCTTTACATTTAGAAGTATTTTCTTAGTTTACAATCAGAAGAACCCCCCCCCCCCC